TTATATGTAATAGGACTCCATGCTGTCCAATTAAGAAATAATTGGACGAGGAAAATTCCGAGGACTGCCAAAAATTGGACGAGGCCGTGGCCGAGTCCAATTTGGCAGTCAGAGGAATTTTTCGAGTCTAATTATTTCTTAATTGGACAGCATGGAGTCTTATTACCTATTAATTATATAGCCACATATTGATCCCAAATAGGTAAAAGCCAACCACAGCTTTTAACAAAAACCCAATTGAAAACCTGTCCAATAAATTTCTTAATTGGACAGGATTCCAAAATTAACGAAAAATCCAGATTTTACCTATTTGGGATTAATATGTGGCTATATAATTATGTGAGTAAATTGTTGAATTAACGCAAGCGTTTTAAGGTAGCTTATCGGGGCGTTGAATTCAGGTTTCTCAGAGTTGAATTCAGGTTTCTCAACGTTGAATTCCACTTGAAATACCTTCTCATCCGGTTGACGTGTTGACMAATCAACGCACGACTTCAAAATTGAGGTATGAGATTCTACCGTGAATAGTGTTTTGGATTTGTAAGTGATTTGAGCGTACATTACAAACATTAAATGTGTGCAACACTTTCCACTACTACAAAATAGTGTTAATTAAACAAAAGAAAACAATGGAATTAGCATAGTTTAGCAGTATTTTAGTGTTATTTATGTTGCGCAGTTTTAGTGTTTGTACTCTATTTGAAGTTTCAACTCGCTTTATCGTACTAGTCGGCATCATAAAGATAGCACATGTTGCGAAATGTCATGTGATAGTTTTAACGTTCGTACCGAGTGCATTAGACCGAGGACATTTTGTGAACCAAATACGATGAAGACAGCCGAAATTTAAACTCGTGGTTCCTTTGGAACCCCGAGTAATGAGCAAAAAGGTCCAAATCCGGTGTTATTTATAGTCGGGCATAGTGTCGAGGGCGTGATCACCGGAAGTTGATAYAAGCTTTTGTATGCAATAACTTTGATATGCGAATGATTTGAAATGGCATATGTGCAAATCAATGAAAAATACTTGAATTAACAATTTTTTTTTTCAGGCGATTCTTCCTTCTGCATGACGGAAAAAGACGCTCGTTTAATCCCAATGTGCTCTCGACCTAATGATTCGCCTACTAGTGGTGATAAACTTCTTGGAAGCCCAGAATGTCCAAGTCCATTTGGAACTTACAGAGTCGAGATGCCGATCGACGAAACATCTTCTTGCGAAGGCTCAATGATAAGTAACAAAAACTGCAAAGATTTTGATGTAAGTCTCTTGATTAACCTGGAACAATCAAATAATGGTTAGATTTCCATCATATATTTTTTTTGAGTGTGTGTTTCTCGATCTGCTCTCTGTTGATTATGTGTTCTTTTTTAATCAAGTAAATTCTAAGACGGTTTCTTTATTAGAAATTCCCGGAAATAATATTTTTTGCTGTTGTTTGATTACATGTCGGTTTGTCTGTTGTAAATTTGATACTGATGACTAAATGACGCCTCCTTCTGAGAGTTCCGATCCGGCAGTAAACTTTGGAGTCTGTTAAAATACTTTTTTTTCGGTCCGGTATCCTATTCATTCGCGCTCGTGATTGACTTCTAGCGCGCTGTCCGGTTTTTTCACGATATGCCTGTCCACGATATATTGCAGCTGGACTGGGAGCAAAGTTGCATTAAGTACAAATAAAAAGAACAACAAGGCTATATTGCTCTAAGAGCAATGATGTTTCGGCCCTCTACAGTTCAGTGCAGTGCAGTGCTGCGTTTGTCTTTTATTGTCTATAAAYAGGCTGCCTTACAAATAGGGGGTGAGGGTGTTTTTTTTTTTTTTAATAATACGGGCCTACATTAAATGTTTGATAGATTAGTTTAATTCACAGTATAGCGTGCAAGAAGCTGCTATTATGAGCAGTTCAAAGAAATTACTATCTAAAACCAGTTCATTTCAGCTCAAAAGCATTTTAARATAGAATAAACTGAAGAACACCGGACCTTTTAAGACTTTTAAGCTTGTGGGGGAAGGCTCGTTGAAATCAGAAAGTTTACAATGCCTCGTGATTGTTATTTTTAAAAAAACTGGATATTTATTGTTTCGAATTGCTCCAGGAACAAAACTTTTCAATAATTCAGTCATAGTACCCTTTGTAAACTCCTAAAGCAACTGTCCTCTGCTGTCACGCAACGCTATCCGTGTGGAGTGCTAATTTAACTTATAAATTTTATCATGCCAGATGTAAACATAGAGCGAACTYGATCAGTTAAATTTAACGATTAAATAGTGGCACAGTGAAGGTAATACGAAGTTAGTGCAAGTCTATGGACGTTATATTAACGTAAATATGATTTTAAGTCTTTAAAACATAGGATTTCAGTGATAATACAAAATACGGTTTCCGTAATGCGAACGATCTACAATGCTACGGCCAGCTATAAAACATGTGAAGTTCACCGGGAATCGTCAATTTGTACTAAAAAGTACAATGTCCTGGAAGGTTTTCATTCAAATCGAGAGTTAGATGGGCCTGAGATGAATAGCTCACACTTGTTTGAGATAAAGCTATTTTGATACTTTGAATGAATATCAAGATCACATTCTATCGCCGTGATGAGTTACGAAACAGAAAGTTCATTCTCGATATGTGATTGGCTAATGCTGAATTTAGGAATCTGATTCRCTGAACTGTAAGATGATTGACAGAGGAGACAAAAAATTATGGGTTTGCAAATTGATCTTAGTAGCGTTTCGGCCTGAGGGGCCGAAACAAAAATGGTATTTACCAGCTATAGCATTAGCAGAAATATCTCCCAAAATGGCGTCRCGCATGCGTAATAAGTACAATAATGGCAGGTAAATTTCCTAAAGAAATGTATGTGAGATAAAACCTTTTGCGTCAAAATATCATTTTAAGAGAAAGGTTCTCTCAAATCGCACTTCGATCACTCTTCGTGGATATATTGCACGTCATTTACATGGTAAATTAAAGTATAATTATGCGTTTAATCTCGAGGTTCCTGAGCGTTTTTAGCATATGGAACTTATTGCCATACATCGGGTGACATTTGCTTGGATTATTGTCCAGGCTCACTCATGCATCCATGCATGCATGTATATATGCATGTAATTTATTTATTTACTTCATGAAATATAATACAATGGAGTTAATTAATATTTTGTCGTCGATCGACCTCATTAACATCATCATCTGACCATTAAATACTATTAATAGCAAAGTCACCTCTAGAAAGGAAAGTACATGTACATATAATATCACAGTTACGTTCACTGACTGAAATAAATTTTTCAAATATTGAATTAACACAAAACTGCATAGTTTTGAGTACATTTTCAACATATAATAAGAAAGCAATAATTTGACAAATTCAAGTTTGATTTTTGTTGCTTGTGCCTACAGAAGTAGTCTCCTTTGCATCCGTTCATCGTCGGGACAGGAATCCCGAAACGCAAACGGATGCGAAGCAACGCCAACTCTTCAAAGGCGAAAATACGTAATTTGATTTTTAAATTTTCTCACGAAAAATACACAGCAATGTCACACATACATTTTATTTCTTAAATCCGGTGCTAGGTTTTTTATKAACAAAATAAGTTATACGCGAGGCCCAGTTTTTTGGAGCGAACTGTGGTGAAAACATGGATCGCCATACTATTTTGATGCTCAACTTCAACTCTTCAAGGGCAAAAATACGTGATTGGACTTTCGAATTTTCTCATGAAAAATACCCAGAAAGGTCGCATATAGATTTTATTTCTTAAATCCGGTGCTAGGTTTTTACGATTGTTTTTAATGTCGCCGCATTTCTTCAAAAAGCCTTGAAATCTGGCCTTTTTTCGTCAAATTTGGCACTTCATACGGACTGTCAGGTCAAGCTTGAGTGATCACGGACTATTTGTCCCCCATAAGTTCCATATGTTTGTGTGTTTTTTTTTTTTTTTTGTTTGGTTGTTTTTTGTTTTTGTTTGTTTGTTTGTTTTTTGTTTTTTGTTTTTGTTTTTTGTTTGTTTGTTTGTTTGTTTTTTGTTTTTTTCAGCGACAAAATTTACATACATTCTCTACAAATCCTGCTTACCTTTGTGATTTGAAGTCGATAAAAAGAGTTCAAATAGTTGATAAACACTCGGGTTGCACATATAGATACGTCCAAATTAATGTCAACATTCGTCAATTCTGCTCCAAAAACCTCCGAAAAATCCCTTTAAATAGGTTCCCGAAGCATGAATAGATTGCAGTTAAACGGATTCACGAAGTTTGAGAGCCATATCTTGTGTTGGGTATGTCCAAGAGGAAAAAATGCAAAATTTATATATAYTTCTACTCGAGCCGMCATTGTTTTCCTTCTGTGAGGTCCCCAATGCCCTCTGGGGATGCTTTTATTGTCCCCAGGTCTTTTCAGAATAATAAAGCACAATATTTTAACGCCAAAATTTGAATTTTGTTTGCAAAAATAGAATAAAATGTCCGTGATTTCTCAATGAATACCGTAAAAAAATATTTGACTGGAAGCTTATAAGACACATTCTGGCTTTCCTTTGACTTATATCAGTCAAAGATCTGAAAATTCTATCTAACCAAAAGATACGAGTTTCTATTTTATATTGAGATATCTTGGTCAGCTCTCTGGGAATGGAAAAAGTTTATTGAGAAATGTTCATCGGTCTCGTATATAAGTAATGAAACCTAATAGCAGGAATCTGTGCAAGCTAGTCTGGAGAAAGCAAGAAGTGAAGTGTCGATGAAATGAAAGAGTGGAGAGAAAAGTAGATCTAACATCTGAGACGGGAGAGCTCTCTAGCCATTTTGTTTTTGCAATGGTAGCTACCGCTGCAACATTATCGCGGGCGCAAAATGGGCAATATTTCTGCTAATGGGTCGGTATTGGAAAACACTGCCCTCGGAATTTTATGTACGGACCTCGCTAAGCTCGTTCCGGACCTCGGGCAGRGACCTAGCCGGTAAAAAAACTCTTACATCCAAACATTTTTTTTCTTCATTGCAGCCGAGCATCTACACTAAGATGAATGTTTGGGTTTCCAATCTGTATTGGTCTGGAAGCTATCCCAAAGGAGAAGATGATGCAAGATGCAAAATWAACGACAAAATGGCGAAGCGAAATAACACAGCTCAGATCTCATCACYTAAKACTGCATGAATTGAAATGATCAAATCAAAAGCTGTTTTATGGAAATGGTCGGGAATAAAGTCTCAAGACGCACGAAGAATAGATAATTACATGAAAAATTAATTTAATCATTAAGAAAGGAATGTCAAAGTAATGTGGATCGCATAAAACGAGTTAATTTAAGAAGTGACGTCATATTGGAGTTGATCATAGTGTATTAGTTTCTAAAGGTATATGATTAAGAAAAAAAGCAGACTGAGAACATAACCCCCGCGGCCACGCCGTCGCGTTCCAATGTTAAACACCAGCAGCTAGACTTGTCCCTGTTTGAGCTTGATTGTCTAAAATCGAAGTTAAAAATATGACAAAAACCTGCATTCATAAATCGTTTACTTCAAAATTTTATTTGTAAAGTAATTTTAGTATTTTGGCATTTTAGTATTCAGCGAGGTCGAAACATGCATTCGAATGGATCGTTTGATAATTAGCTGACACAGTGATTTCACTTTTTCTGATGTTCTTTTAAGACTTCACGCATCTATATTCATGGGTGTCGAATAGTTGTACTTATTTCGATATAATAGAGCGATTTCACATAACCGGATAAAAAATGCTATTGAGGATCAATTTATGCTAATACATGACATTACACGATTTTACACCTGGAACAACGAGCATATCGATGAACGCTTTACTTATTTGACGAACAGATATGTTTTAAATARCAACTAAATCATAACAAACATTCAAAATCACACATTTTTCTTCACGGCATCATTTCTCCTCTCTTTAGGCGTCTTCTTGGCTGCATATTTCATTTCTAACTCTTGAGTTGAATTATTGATCTTCTGGTTCTGTTCGTTCTGCCACAATTTGGACACCGAATTGATTTGCACTGAGTACTGGATCAGATATGGTCTTTTTCATTATCCCTTTCAGTCTCGTGATTAATTGCTCATTATCACTCTCAAAGTAAAAACTAAACAACTCGATCTTTGAGGCCGCCAGTGTTGACTATCGTTGCCTTGCACAGCGCAACAACGCTATCCCAGTCATTCCCCTTGCACTTTTGGTAGCACTTCTAAGACAAACATGCGCTCAATCTCGCTGACGTTAACTCTCTTTAGCTTTTTAAAAAAGATGAATTAAACGACAACATAAGCAGCCAAAATTGCACAATAAAACATTTGTTTGCTTTTACAAACATTCCAACGTGTATACTAAGGAAAAACACTTCGTAAGGCGAAAAAAAATGTTTGTGTCTAGTTTTTGCAAACAAGGACAACAATTTGATACAAGCTTTTCTCATCGTGTAATGTGTATTAGCATAAATTTATCATCATTAGCATTTTTTATCCGGTTATGTGAAATCGTTCTAAACAAGTGTTATACTTTGCTTTCGAAAATGGCTCAAAAAGTTTTAAAACTCGCTACAAACTCGACATCCTTCTTCATACAGAAGTAGAGCTCTTTATTTACAAGTTTTAGCGGCAACTTTTTAGCAGCTTTTATCGCACAATTAATGCTGTTGTTTAACGTTCAAAATGCTGTATTTCGTGGGCTGTTACTCAAATAACTTTTGTTGTGATATTAGCCTATACTATCAATCGTCGATTGCGCATGCGTGCGTGCTTACGATWTGMCAAGCTCAATTGGTTCCCACATTGAAGATSAYACGTTGAATGCTGTGCTATAAAAGGTACGTATTTTAGTGGCAAGCAGCAGCTTGACCAAAGCTAGGGGTTATCATTATAAGTGTCTTCATAGTACGATGGGCTAAGAGGGTAGCTAAGTGGGTATCTCCTGATTGTTCCCATCGATCGAGCAAATAGATCCATGGTATTTTGTGTATAAGACATTCACACACCGAGTGCGACCCGTTTTCTTCAACACAAGCTATCCCAAGTAGAGCACACGAGCCGGTGGTCTTTTCGACATCGGGCTGTCCACAATGGCCGACCAGAAAGCCCGCACTGCTGTGTTCAAAACACCGACTAAATTCACGATAGACGAGATCGTGGAAGGCCTGGAAGATCACCAAGGGCCCGATTGTATAGAAGTTCTCYAGGAGCTAGCCTCTGGAGTATACCTTGTTCAATTTAAGAGTAACGACGCCGCCGAACGCCTAATAGACGAAGGACTACAACTTTGCGATGTCTACGTACCCTGCAACCCACCCTCAGGACATTATACCAGGGTCTAAAAAGTGACATCATCAGGCTCAAAAAAGACCACGAGCTCGCTGGCATTGAAAACGGAAACCGTATGGTTTCCATACTCCTGAATCGCAGCATCCCCTACTCAATCAAAGTAGCAGGGGAATACTGCCAAGTGATTCACAACAACCAAGTAAAAACCTGCAAACTCTGTGGCGAAAACGGCCATACATTTTCCCGATGCCCTGAAGTCGAATGCTTCGATTGTGGGGAAAAGGGACACGTCGCCCGATTGTGCAACAACATCACAAAAGGCAGCGAACCAACAGAACTACCCGAAGTCAACAACAACAGTTCAGAAATACCCGAAACAGAACCTCGACCAGCCCATGAACAACTGCATCAACCACCAGAACTACCCATCACAAGCACGGACCCCGACATCAACATGGCCGAGCACGCCAGTGCCATCAAACGTCCACTCTCCACTGATGAAGACTTCCAACAACAACACTCACGACGACCAAGGCTCAGCCCCACACCGAAACCCAACAATGACAGCACACCAGCACGAAAGACTAAATCACAAAGGAGAGCTGAAAAAAAGGAAAAGAAAGCACAACAAGCGAAAACTTTAGAAGATTACACCGCCGACAACAAAGAAACAACACAGGTATCGAACTCTACTACTGCTTAAACCAAGCAATTGAACAATGCTTATCCCAAGAACACTATTTTATATCCGCTTTTATTTAGTCATGATCTCATTAATAAGTATTAACGCGCAAGGCCTTAGGCAAGCGCATAGACGTTCCTTAGCTTTTAATTATTTTAAGTCTTACGACATCATATACTAGTACATGATACACACTGGACCGACGTCATCAAAACGGACATAGAACGTGACTGGGCGGGAGACATACTTAACAGTAACGGAACAGACATATATCGCGGAGCTATTCTAGTCTCAACGCAACCCTTACGAACACAAACAGTGACCAGGACGGACGGATACTCCGTACAAAACTTATGACAACCGACGTATCACTGAAAGTGACGAACATATACGCACCCAACACAGATGCTGAGAGAAAGACATTCTTCCGCACCATTCCCTATTACTTCTCAGCTACATTGCCAAACGTTGTAGGAGGGGACTTTCACTGTATTACTGACAAACGAGACAAACGCGGAGGCAACCCTAACTCTTGATAAAGGGCTACCCAAACCCAAAACAATGTTACAATACAACACAACTTGAGGGATTCCTGGCGAGAACAACACACACACGAAAGACAATACACGTGGACAGGCAGAAATACGTTTTTTTCTGGGTGGAGATATAGTGGATGGTGGCGTTAGCAGCGCAGAAGATTGAGACTGTGGGCTTGGTGAGGCTGCGCTTGTGAAGGGAGAATCATTTACTGGCGACGACGGTTGATCATCTTCTTCACTTGATACTTCCGCTGAATCACGTGCCGGGGGCTCCACAAAAGGATCTTCATTCTCAGTTTCAGGTTCAGGGGGTATAAAGTGAGTTGGTGGGTCGACAGTTGCCAAAGTAGCTTGCGGGAAGGGAGGTTGCAATTTCTTCTTGTATTCTAAAAAGTTATTTTGAAGTTGTACATATTGGMGTGCTTTCTGGTCAGTATTTATGTTGTAATTCTGTAGCTAATCACCCATTTTGCTCTCTTAAGCTTTGCAGCTTGAAGGTGATGGGAGGGAGCTCAGCATTTTGCCGCTTGAGATATTTCACCAACTCTCTCTTGATACTTCATTATTCTCGAATATATTCCCTCTTATCTCCTCTTCTCCAGGTAAAACATTGGTTCGAAGCCTACAGTGRTCTGGAGTAGTGGTTTTTAAATCAATGAAAAGGTATCCAAACGGTCGGCTTACTGCCTCTTCATATTTCTGGAGAAAATATCCAGTTTTTCTTGGATACATTTGCTTTGCCACTGTAAGAATTTGAATTTATCTCTAGGGTTCTTGAAGATAATCAAATAATGACAATTTAAGCTGATGTCCCTATTTCCTTTGCCTTGATGACGATAAGATTGCGCACATTGACGTCAAAATAATCGTCATGCTCAATATTGGTGGGGATTCCCCGCACAAATTCAATCTCGGGTATCGTCTGCGTCATTTCTTCATAGGCGGGCTGTCATCTTGAGTAACACCATACGATTCTCTGTGGTATTGGTTTGATTGTATGAGCTTTGTTGTGTACAAGACATTGGACTCAACGCTCCCCCTAGATCCGCCCCTCGACAGAAAATGTGCAATCTACAGATCGAAAACGTCTAATCCACAGGTGCAGTTCTGGTGCTCTTTAGGCTGTTGTATTTTGTGTCATTTAAGGTATCAGCGTACCCAAAATTACCGTCACATTTTAATGATTTTTGATTTTTATATCATTGGAAAGATCGTTTGTAGATCTAGGTATATAGTAAAGTTTTGAAAAGATACGAAGTTTACAACAAAAGTTATTGCGCTCAAAAGATTTTTTAGTCTTAATTGGATTAATGGCGTTGATGACAGCTCACATCAAACGAGTTTTATATATGACCGTTTAAAGCAAGAGTCGCCTTGAGGCATGCCGTAAGATACAAAAGAATATGTCTATTTGAAGGACTCCAATAAGCAATATATTCGATAAATATGCTCACCGGCAGTTTTCATATGGATTAAATATCTTAATACTTTAAAAAGTCCGTCCCGGGATCGAGAGTTGATCACCCTCATGTTGTTGATTCTCGATATCATATTCTGCTTCTTTTTCTCTCTCATTTATCTGGATCACTCAATCATTTCTTTCTCTTGTATTAGTTTATTATGATTTTCCACGTTTTGATTTGAAACGGTCAAAATTTGCGAGAATAGGAATAAACTATACATTATATTTACAATTAGCATATCCTTGCTTCGCTTTGCTATCGCTAATCTTCTTGGCCTTTGGCATTCCTGAACATTATCGAATATTAGCTTCGGCCTAACCGAAATTTGCTRCAAAAAACTGTATATTTAGTAAAATCTTACGAGTTACAAGTTGATGTTTTTGAAAGAACTACCCGTTCTACTTAAATCGGTTTTATAGCTGTCATCGCATCTTTTATGCTAACATGACGTAGATTCCGGTATGGTCTTATAATCTGTTATTACCCGGTATAATCCCATTACGGGCTAAAAACTGTTTTTGACTCATTTCTCGAAACAAAATTTACGGCAAGTAGGGCATACGTTTTAAACTCCAAGTCAGATACCCGTAAACCAATTTTATTCAAATTTCGTAGCATTGTTTACAAATAGTTAAGCAACAAAATTGTGTCTGGGATTTTGATAAGTCGTCTTTTTTCAAAAGTTATTCAAGGTTCTTTAAAGAACTTGACATAATTTTGCGTTCCTAAAATTTATTACAACATTAAATCAAAACGAGAGCGCGTATAAAAAATCGCAGACACAATTTTTGAGACAAATACGTGAACAAAAGAACAGCGCTTAAATTGAATTTTTTCCGATAATTCTTTCAGACTTGGAGTTCGTTTTATACAGGCATGTAGTTTCAGATAAAGGAGCTAATAACTCTAAAACATAATTTTAAATGCATTTCAAACACTTATAGGCATAAACTACAGTTACTAASCTTTCAGAAAATATATACTTTGTGAGCATTTGCAAAACAACAAGAAAGTTATTGTCGATGACGCGAGTAGGGGTCGCGTGGGTACGCTGATACCTTAAGGTGGATCACAACTAATGAAACAAAAATTTTGTACTTTTTTAATTCGCTCGCTTCGCAAAAGTATTTAGTAAAACGTGCTAAAAAAGAAAAGAAATCTATTGCTATCTTCCCCCCGACTAATCTTCCCCCCGTCTAATCGATAATCTTTTATGAGATATACAAATTCTGAAAATTTCGAAATGATCTGACTGTTAGTTTTAGAGTAAATCGTCGAAAACTTGAATTATCACTGTTTGAAAATGCGCTGTAAATTTAAAACCAGCCAATAAATTACTAAATACTGAAGACTGTCAAAAACTGTAATAATTACTGCATGTTTTATCAAAATTTTAGCACGTATTACTGAATACTTTTGCGAAGCGAGCGATTTAACTTATATACCCAATAAAACAAACACAGTAGTTTTTGGCAGCATCTATGAAAAATGACCGAGAAACCATTTTAAAAAGATAAGTGACGCTCTTTCAGTCGAATCCTCCCGTAATTCTAAACCCTGAGTACTCGCCCTTTCTCCCAAGTAGGACAAAGAGAACATAATAATGAAAGTATTCTATTATATATTGGATCAGCGTCAGCTTTAATATCAACTGTGTCTTATATTTTCACCAGTTTTGATCGACCGTCGACTCTTGCCTTCCTCCGGTGCCCTAGCGAGGTACCAGTGACTCCATTTAACTCTCTATCTCTCTCTCTGTCCCTCTGTCTCCCTCTCTCTCTCTTTCTCTTACTGTAAATGGTGCAACTATATCAAACGATCGAAAATCTACTGATTACACATTCATTAATATTGTCGTTCATTATCTCATATCTTTATTTTGTGATCCTCGAGCRAATTCAAATCGCCACAAGATATGAACCACTGACATGACACTTGGACACGTATTTGGTCATTGAATGGTTTCAAGTACTCGAACTAGTTGAAAAGCCATCGGTAATCAGTAATTATATGATAGCTCATTTCTAACATGCGCTSTGATCGGCGGATTTCATTAGAAAAGCTATGGTTTATTTCGCTGGTAAACCAGCCTGCTGTCTTGAAAGACTTTTGAGACTCAATGCCTTACACCAGCCATAATACAAAAGCAATAAACGATAGCTTGAAGCGAATAAACCGCTTGGGATGGTTGGGAGAACAGTCGAAAAGGTAAATCACTCGCCTGACGGTTCTTTTCGCGTGTTATCACAGCTATCTCGCGCGGTATATTTCGCCAGTAAACCGCTTCAAGCTAAGAAACACCGACGCATCTCACACTAGTTTACCGCTAGTTCCCAACAAAAATACATATATCTGGCTGCAATATATAACATATAAACATTACAGTAATTCTCGCTTCTTTTATTTTTAACAAAATACTACTACTCTCTTGCAGCTTGCAGTTTAAATGCCAATAAAGTTAAGGTCTCACACTCATATTTTATATTGCTTATCAAAATCAAACATAAGMTAAAACATATTTTGAAAACACCAAGATGACATATCATAGGAGGAAAACGAATCAATAAGTCGTATGCAAATAAGAACAAACGGAAACATTCCCTGGAAGCTCATAATTTCCTAACCAAAAAACGYTTCAGAGGGCTAAAGGATCTAAATCATGTTTGTAAAAGAGTATTTTTGGCAAGTGTTCCATTCTTTTAGAGAATGTTTCGTCCCAGTAAT